ATAAACACAATAACCAACAATATAATTAAAGTATTTAAAATAAATAGGGAAGAAATTGCAAACTCAATTTTAACATGGTTTGATAAGCCTACATCCACACCTCAAACACTAAACCGGTCTTGAGTATTGTATTCTCTCAGTAATCCAAGTTCAAGACTATAATTATCACTTGATGAATCCACATCAAGATTTTTACACTACTTCAAGATATTCTCTCTTTAAGATTTTTTTCCTACTTGAAGATATGCATTTTTCAAGATTTTTCTTTAGTGACAATATCTCACTAATATCAAGAGTTTTTTTCAAGCTCTCATGGATTTACAAATATGATTTTGTTATTACATAATTACTCTCCAATAAAATGGATTTTACAATTGAAAATTTAAATATTTTTATATCTTACAAGACAACACTTAAAAGATTTGAAGGTGTTTAAGTGCAATGAGTATAAAATTAAATACTCTTGTGTTACAATATAAATGTTTTAATGATTTGATATTTTTTTGCACTTATAACAGCTTGTATAACATTTATGTTTAGACTCTCTTATAAATTTTACAATTAGACAAGCTGTGTGTGTGCATGTTTTTTTCTAGCAAAAACTAGCCATTTATAATTGTTATTGTCTCATTGACGGTTGAAAAGTTGACTGGTTCATATTAGTCAAGTTAATCAATCAACTAATTTTGGTAAAATTTTCAGGTGTTCATAGATGAATAAACAATCAACTAATTCATTTAGTATCATCAAGCAGTCGACTAGTTCATGCAAAATTTCAGATTTATTAATTTTAATCTTAGTGAATTATTAAAATAATTTTATCAATTCTTTTAAATTCATTCATTTTAATTTATACTATTAAATAGGATATAAAAATTTACATTTAACACTAAAAATCAATACTTAAATTAAGTCTTCATTTGGCTTCCTTCTTGAAATCTAGTCATGTTTGTTGATGTGTTACTCATATAAAATCTTTTTAAAATTTATTCTCAACTAAACTTATTTTTAATTTAATTTTCATATTATTATTATCATATATATATATATATAGACACACACTGAAAAGGCCAATCTTGCGGAGAAAGATGCATTTTATGCTTATACATGACTAAAGCTTTTATCTTCTAACCGATGTGAGAAAATGATATCATCACTATAATAAAATATATCCCTCTATTCTTAATATTTTGGTTATTCCATTATAAGACAATAATAAAATGCTACGTAAAAGAATTCACTTGTGATCTTTATTACTAGTACTAGATGCAGAGTCTTTCCCTAAGCTAGTTAGTCATAAAATGATTGATTGCTCAATTTGGAGTAAGAAAATAATAATAAAAAAATAAGTCTGCTTTAAAATAAAAAGAAAAAAAATATAAAAAGCTCATTTTCTTTCATTTAAAATGATGTCTTCTCTTCCTCTCTCTACAACTCCTAAATAAAGAGGAGCAAAGAAATGGAGAGAATTAAAGATTGTCACCATTAATCCATATCTTGGTATTAGTATGTTTTGCATCATTTTCACTCTTGTTACTTGTTTCTTTTTATTTTTCAATTTTAAGAATTTGGTAGAATCAATTAAACTACCAACTAAATCATATTGGAGTATGGAATGACTTAGTCCATGATTAGTTGCAAGAATCAAGTGAATAAGCTGTACAAATTACTTTAGTTAAGAAGATAATTTTGTAATCTCATTGTATTCCTTAAGTTTCACCATTTTGTTATATATAACTCTTTATATATTATGATTGAATAAAAATTGAAAAGTAATTAAGCCAATAAGTTTTATTTCTCTCTTTATTCTTATATTTAGTTTATTTATATAGTATCGTAGCATTAAAAGGCAAATGCTTGACCAATACTCTTATGCTTTCCACACCATTCTTTTAAGCAACGGCCTTAAATTTTACTATCTCTTATGTCAATATCTCTCTTCCATAACCCATTGTTCCAGTTAATTCACATTCTGTTTCTTAAAAAAATTGGTCGATCCCAACTACCTATCTTGGATTATCCAATTCATGGTTTTCATTAGAAGTAATGATCTTATGGATGAAACTGTCTCTCATATACGACAAACTATTTTTAATGGATCACCTAATCTAGCCTACATAACATGATCAAGGAAAGATACATGTCTTAAGCTAACTGCTTACTTCTATTACATAAAAGTTAGTCTCTACTATCTATGATATGAAAACATCTAGACAAGTGTGAGATGTTCTTTATACTTATTTTTCATAAACTGCATGGTTTAGGATTTCTTTATTAAAGAGACAACTTCAAATCATTACTCAAGTTTATTGATCTTGTACTAATTTTATAAAAAAAGCCAAGAGCTTAGTTGATCAATTAGTAGCTACAAGGAAAACTAACAATGATCAGAATCTCATTAGCTTTTTGTTAAGAGCGACTTTAAACAACCTTCAACCCTTTTACCACCTTTTTTAGTTTTAGAAGTCATGACAAAGATCTCTTTTTCGATAGCTGAACTCCTGAATTTTAATACTTTCATTAACGCATAAGTCGATCTTTCTACTGATCAACATTATGTGTTTGCAACAAATCAAAAAGGGAAAGTCCTAACATTTCTAAAGAAGCAAAAACCTCAAACACCTTTAAAGTATCAACTACATCAATCTTTATATAACAAAAAAAATCTTATCACTTATCCCAATCAATTTGCTAATGATAAACCAATCAATAACAGTGATCTCTTTTAAGTCCATATGTTGGTAGAGAATCTTGGAGTTACTAGAGTCATCCCCAATAAAGGAGAAAGAAACCGCCGCATGACGATGAACGAAGACACCTCAAATAGAAGGTGTGAGGGCCACAATATGAGCCTAGGTTCAGGCCACAATATGAGCCTAGGTTCAGGCCGCTGCATGAAAACAAGCGGAGACACCTCAAACAATAGGAGTTGGCTATAATATGAGCCTAGGTTTAGATTATTGCATAACAACAAATGAAGACACTTTAGATAGAAGATGTGAGGGCCATGATATGAGTCTAAGATTTGATCGTCTCATGATAATAGGCGAAGGCACCTCTTAGAGCTGGTATGAGGGCCATGATATGAGTCTAAGATTTGATCGTCTCATGATAATAGGCGAAGGCACCTCTTAGAGCTGGTATGAGGGCCATGATATAAGCTTAGTACAGAATGCCTTAGAGCCAATGTGATGGCTAGATATGAGTGGACAAGTGTATGGATAGCCAATAGAATTGTTATGATGAGTACGAAGATAAATGTAGGATTGAATTTCATGGATATTGTCCCTAAACAAAATATCAATGAGCTAGAAGACATTTGGTTTGGACAATAAGTGGATGATTTGTGGAGCATTAAGACGCAACTGTTATGAAGGAGCAGAGGGCATGCGCAGGTTCCAAGAACAAGTTGACTCTTGTCAAGGTGGTGAGCTCGGTAATGACATTATAATACTTAAAGTATGAAGACATAAATGAATCAACCTTTACTGGGTTGTCCCCATGGTTAAAGGTGAAGAGCTGCCTAGACTCTTAGAACTAAGAGCGAGAGACTTACAAAAAAGTAAGGCATGGTTCTTAGGGTGGAACAGATGACAAACGTGGTTCCTAGGATGGAACAGATGACAAACGCAACTCCGGAATGAATAAACTCTTAGAGCGGTGAGCTTGTGATTATATTGAAATGCTCAATGACTGTTGCAAATGGGAATATCCGTTTAAAGGGGTGTTGTAAGCCTTAGTGTAAAGCTTGATAAATCATTTTGGACCGAGCATGATTGTATGCTCAAAAGGAAATGCAGTGTGTTCTAGAGACGGCACAAAAATTGAACGTCGGATATGGCCGCACGTGCCAACACGCATCGATAAAAAGGCTTCCCATGCGCGTAAATGCGCCCCACACGTGCCACGAGTCTTCTTTGCCTGGATGTACTGACTCGACTTGAATACCAAACGACTTGACACACATTACTGATCTGGATAAGGATGACATTAGCATGCACAGTTGGCACGTCATGTCAGCGACTAGTTAGTTGACATGTCAGCAAAGTGGGACACACTTGTCACGTCATAAACATCAAGTCGAGTTGAGTTAAGCCAAGCCGAGTAATAATAATACCATTAGAGAGTATTTTAAGACACCAATTAAAAAGTGATGAAGAGTAACAATAGATAAGGTGGAACCAATAGAAGAGAGTCCATGTCCAATTACCATAGGCATAGGCATAGTGATTGGTTTATAATTTAAAAGTTGAGCCCGAGGAAGAACACCACGAGCATACTTGGTTTGACTACAATAGTGTCTGTTAACAAGTATAAATGACCTCAAGTCCTAAAAAATAATTGAGAGGGCCTAAAAATTTGGTGGCAAACTTAGCATAAAGGAGTGATTGATTATTGCTAATTAGAATAATATCATCAACTTACAATAGTAGAAGATAAATGAGATAATGTTAATGCTTAAGAACAATTAGAGAAGTATTAGCTCGGCTGCAAGAAAATCCAAGTTGAAGTAAGAAAGTGATAAATCGCTGGAAGCAGGCATAGAGAGCCAATTTCAAGCCATAGAGAGCTCTTTTAAGCTTTCATATATGGTCAGGAAAACATGGGTGAACATAACTAGGGGGCTGCAGCATATAAACATTCTCATGCAAAACACAGTTGAGAAAAGCATTTTTAACATCAAGGTTGGTGAAGAGTCGATTATTAATAATCGCGAGAGAGAGTACCATCCAAATAGTGGATGCCTTGATCACTAGACTAAAAGTATTTGTGTAATCAAGGCTAAGAAGACGAGTATAGCTTTTTCCAATAAGACAGGCTTTGCAACGATCAATGATTCTGTTAGAGAAATATTTAGTTAAAAAAACCCATTTAGATCCCTCAATATTGGTGTTAAAGGGACGTGGCACTAGGTCCCAAGTTTAATTATCATGAAGAGCTTTAATCTTCTCATCTATAGCAGCTAACTAGTCTGGATTCTTAGCTGCAGATGTAAGACCATGAAGTGTGGAGAAATAGAGCAAGGCATAAAGAAGACCAGAAGCTTGCCGGCTAAAATAGCTATAATGGTGTGGCCTGAAAACACTTGTTTTGGCACGGGTGACCATCAGGTAAGCAGAAACAATGGCAGAAGGTCTTGGGGCAGCAGGAGGCTAATTTGATATGAGAGCGAACTGGCTAGGCAGGACAACAAGATCCCACTGTGCTGGGGACTCACATGCGAGAATGGAGTTAATTTGAGAAAATTGTATTGGCTCAACACATGAATCAATAAAAATATGACATTTTATAAGCTTGGACTGAGTAATAGGTTTGGGCAAAATGTTGTATGGTAATGGGACATCAGGTGGAAATATGGTTTATACCTGGCTAGGCTCACTAAAAGTAGAATAAGCCAAGATATAGTTGAGCGTTGAACAGAAGAGTTGGGGATGGGAGGGAAATTAATTTTTTCAAAGCATGCATAACAAGTGATATATACTTCAATGGTAGTGGGATCAAAGCAATGGAATCCTTTGTAGGCAAGACTATACCCTAAAAAGATACGGGGAAGACTACAGGAGAATGTTTATTAGAAGCATGGTCATATAAATAGGGAAAAATCTACAACCAAAAGGATGGAAATTTATATAATGATGGACCTTACAATTCAAGATTTTAAAGGGAGAAATTTTGCCAAGAAGAGGTGTAGGCAACCGGTTAATAATGGGGTAGTATGAAGTGGGAGCATATGAATGAAATAGGAGAGCAAGGCCTGTCTTAGTCACATGACAGTGCTTGCATTCAACATAACCATTTTGAGATGATGTACAGGGGCGGGACAATTGGTGATGAATCCCTGTATTGCGAAGCTGAGAATGAAAACATGAACTAAAAAATTCAGCACCGCCATCACTTTGAAAATTTTTAATTTTGCAAGAGAATTGATTTTCCATAAAGTTCTGAAATTGGAGAAAGATTTCATAGAAATTAGATTTACACTTCATAAGATAAAACCAAGTAAAGCGAGAATGATGGTTAATAAAGATAACATAATATGAAGAACTCATTATCGATTTGACAAGAACGGGGCCTAGATATCACTATCACGGCGGACAAGACGCAAAATATCATTTGATCAAGTATCAGTTTTAGAAAACAGGAGCCTATGGCTCTTGGCAAGTTGGCACGCGGAATATAAAGAAGTAGGCAAGATGGATTTGAGAGAAAACTGTCCTTTTTCATTTAATATGGAAATAACATAATGATTTTACATGTCTAAGACAAGAGGCGTATGCCATAAGAGCAAATTTATTTAGGATAAAAGTAAAAGTACTGTCACGCTTTATACCCTATTTATTTTTTATTTTAAATTAATATTTTTTAATATTAAAAATAATTTTTTAAAAATAAAATATATTATTTTAATATATTTTTAAATAAAAAAACTGGAAAAACACTTTTCAAATAGACTCATACAGAATAACCTCTCACCATTACATTTTTTGGTTGCCGCCACTTTTCTTGTTATGCAATTCTGAACAACAAAGGAAGTGTCAATGAACATAACTTTTAAGGGAGAATCGAAAGTTAATTTGATAATGGATAAAAGGTTTTTAGTAAGGTGGGGGAACCGCTAAAACATCAAGCAAAAGTAAATCAGAAAAGGAATGAGAAGTGCCAATATAAGTGATGGATAAGGAGACTTCATTGCCCAGAACAACATTGTCCTTCCTTCTTTTTTAGTTTTTTTTTTTTAGTAATCAAAGTTTTATTAAAAACATGCTAGCCATTTAGATGATGGCCACCATGAAAAGAAGAAGTTTTTACAAAAAGGGACTATTAACTAATGAAAAAAATAAAGAACTAGATAAAACAAAAGAAAGGCTTGCAACATGGCTATCCAAACATTCAGTGTCATCTTTTGCTATTTGTCCAGCTTCGAATGCATTCAGTACTGATATGAAGATCATTACCCGTGTAAGGAAAATAAGCCTCACAATTCCTTAGCCAAGCAGATAACCAAAGGAGTGTCAGAGAAAAGTATGAGTCCAAATTCGATTTGACATCATTGAAAACCAAATTATTTCTAGTTAACCAGATACTTCAAGGGATACCATAAGACAGTATTTGCAATGCCTTCCGCTAAAACCTGCCCTTTAACCATCATTGGCCATTAATTCAGAAGCTCATCAAGTATGTGTGGAACACACCAAAAGATCCCCCACCATAAGAAGAATTTGGCCCATAATGTCCATGCAAATTAGCACATGATCTGAAGTCTCTATTACAGTGTTATAGAGTGGACAAAAGGACTGATCCAAGGATAAAAGGTTACAACTACATAGGAAAGATCTAGTACATAGTTTTTGGAGGAGCTGAAGACTTCCAAGCCAAAGGATAACAACATTGTCCTTACCAACATATTGCTTAGAAAAGTCCAGGATTTCTGAGCCTGTTGACATGTAAGCAGAGACACCCATGTCCAGATACCAATAGAGAAGGACCATTTGATACAGAATAAGAAATCTAAAGGGATTCATCTAGCCATGTCTAAGGATTTGAATGATCATAGTCCTGCATTTATCAGTCATATTACCCTTAATTTTACAGGTCTGACATTTTAGATTGTAAGGGCATTAATTACTTCTGGGTCCATTAGGCTGACTATTGATGTTTCTAGATGAGGAGTGTCCAAAATACCTATAAAAATCACCACGGGAGTGATGATTACGAAATTGATTTCAATGTCCAGGTAAGGAGCGAGTGGCTATAAAAGCTACAATAGGCAAAGACTGAGATTCCAATGATTTTTGGAAGAGATCATGACTCTAAGCCAGCAGAACCAGATCATGAATGGGAGTTAGCGAAGAGAGCGATAATTGCGTGGAGGAGAAATTAGCAAATTCAGTTCCAAGGCCATAGAGAAACCAGTGTGATTTGTCAACTTCATTTATAGGACGTCCAATGGCCAGTAACTGATCATAAAGAGATTTGAAATCTCAAGAAAAATCATTAATAGATCAAGACCCTTTCTTTATTAGTTGCAATTCATCTTTGAGATGAATTTCACAAGTGTTGAATCCATGACTGAAAAGATGCATAAGAGCTAATTAGACATCACAAGAGGAGCTAATTAGACATCACAACAGTTGCACCTATTGCCTTCTCAAAAAGGAAAGAAAGGATGAGGTTGAGAATCCGCTCGCCGATGGCTTTCCATTCTAGGAATTTGAGAAATATGGTAATCTAGGGATTACTCAAATACTATGAGAATGTTTGTAAAACCACTCTGATTGAGAGGTTGAATTGTATTTTATTTATATAGAGATACATACACATATGACAATACATGAATAGAAAATAAAATACAACCGGAAAGAAATCAAACAATGAATGATTCATATCTACAATTAAAGGTCGACTACTATAATCAGGAGATAATTAGTGAATGTCATGAGAGGATCCTGGCATATCCTCGACAAGTTTGTCCCCGTAGAAAGTAGAAACAACCAATTCTCATTAACTGGTCTTGGGGACTGCAGGCATGCCAGATATGATACTTGTTAATAATAAATTCATTCCATCTATGTTTGCTAATACATTCAAGCATCTTCATGCACGAGGAATCTCACCTGCTGTTCTTTACCCTACTGTTAACGTTGATCTGTTTGATGTACCTTTTTCTTATAAGCAACGAAATTATTTTGTATCTCTTGCATGTTATAACTTTACACAGGCTCTTGAAATAATGAACAAAAATTTATTTCATTGCATTTTCCCTCCAGCAGTTCAGACTCTTATTCTTATCTGTTTCATGATCACAGGCTGAGTCTTCTCTCAATTGATGAGTTTGGAAAATGGTTTAAATGCAATACCATGACTTTGCTCACTAAGCACTTGCATGTAATTTGTCTCTCAGGTGGATAAGACAATCGGCTGCGAGAGAATGTCGAATACCTCGATGAACTTAATTGCCTGGCAAAAAGGAAAGGAGTCTTTCATCTAGCGTCCTGCGCAACAAATGAAAGAAATAAACTTCTTTCACAAGCCTCTGTGTCATTTATACTCCTAAGGTGCGATCCCATGCACTTGTCTAAAACATACATCGTGCTTTGAGGTGAAATGTAGGTTTTAAAATTAATAGTTTATTAATGTAGGATGAACACTTCGGCATAGTCCCTTTGGAGGCAATAGCAGCTCATAAGCCTGTACTTGCATGCAATAGTGGTGGCCTTGTGGAGACTGTTATGGATGTAGAAACAGGATTTCTTTGTGACCCTACCCTGAAGAATTCTCTTTGGCAATGGCTAAACTGATTCAGGATCATCGATATCAAACTTGGCAAGACCTGTAAGCCAGCCCAATGACTTTCAAACCTATAGTTAGGTTTAAATTAGGTTTGCTTTTCAAATTGCTTGGGGATTTGACTTAATCAAACCTACTTTACCTGGTAATTTATTTTTTAATTAATTTTTTTCCTGAAACAAAATTATTTAATAAAAAACTCGGTAAATCCAAGTCAATTTATAACACGCGAGTTGACTTGTCCACCTTCCAACCTTAACCTTGATCGGATCATATGTCGGTCAAGTCTTATAAATATGTTTAGGGAACCAGATGGCAAGAGAATGGATGGAGAAGGTCGTAAGCATGTAGCCATGTCATTCTCAACAAAAAAAAAAAAAAAAAAGAAATTGGCCAGCATTTGAATCAATGTCGAATAAGTTTTACTGGAAGTAAAGAAGATTGAAAGTAGCAAATTTAGCTGGAAGATGATGGTGCAACAGATCTTTTTTTACGACCAAATACAAGATTATTTTGATAGACAACCGTTGCCTCTTGATTAATGGATAGATAGAGCGAGTTTTGACTATGATCTTTTACATAATTATGTTTTAGTCGCAAGTGAGTTCCAAAGTAGAAATAATGGGCTTATTCAAAGTCATTATTGAAATTTACCTACTTGTAGGTTTTGCAAAAATATCTATTCATATAAATATTTCTCTTTTACAAGGGGGGAAGTTCTATTGGACTTGGACTTGGACTTGTATTTGCAATGCTTAAGATACGATTACTTATATTAGTGTAAATATAAGTCAAGAGACTTGAAAAGATAAAAACTCTTTAA